GCTTACAAGCAAACTGAGAAGGCACTAAATCTGAAGACAATAAGGAAGAAATAAAAACTGATATCATTAAAAGTGTAAGTGTTATGTATGCATTGAATATTGATGGATTAGAGAAATAGTTGATAAATTCCCTTGTATTTGATAAATCTAGAACTAAGGGATAACAAAGAGGAAGTTGTCACAGTCAAATTGGTGTCCTCATCTACAGAGGCAAATTCCCATTCTCCACTTCTCAGTCTGTCTGATTCTCACAATACTGGTTTTGGGTAACCCTGACAAGAACTGGATCAGTATCCTATGTACAAGGGGAAATACCATGATCTCCTTCTGATGATCTTTCATGCTTTCTATTCAGGGACTATTTATCTCTATCTTAAACAGATTTGTACTGACTATGAAATTAGCCTTTAATGAAATACGGACCAACTACACAAAGTTATAAATGTTTATTAAAGTTCTTTTATTTTTTTCTTTTGGGCTTATAAAGGATAGTATTATAAACTAAAGACAAGAATAATTGCTCATGTTTGTAGTCTTGAGTTCTATTGGCACATCTTTGAGATGACATGATGTAACACAATTTTTAAGTTATTTGAATTGGTCTGATGTTAAGAATGGGAATATTTTCTTAAGAATAGTTTGGGATTTGAAAATATGTCTATGAGGCATAGTAAAAATAAGACAGTAAATGACTAATTAATGGAAAAGTATCTAAGTGCCCTGGTTCACAGTATAAGCAATGATACAGTTTATGTGCTTTCAAAGCAAAGTTGTGTCTGCTTTGGAGACAACCAGTTATATCTCCTAGCAAGAAAAACAATTTATTCATCCTCATCAAGGAGAAAAAATCATATCTGACTTTGAACCTGACCTATTCTACTTTAATTATGAAATGGGAAATTAGTGTGGTTTCAATATTATTTTTATTTATTTTATTTTTATTTTCCAAACAGCCCCACCTCTTTTTTGCCATTCATGATTTTTTTAATTGTGAAAATACTGTACAGAGGGGTTACAATTACATAGGCAAGATAATGAGTGCATTTCTTATCAAGCATTGTAGCCTCCTCCTTTGTTTCCCCTTCCCATCCCTTCCCATCCTCCTCCAGGCCCCCATTCAATCCTTCCTCCCCCCGCACCAAAGTTGTGAAGTTTGTTTTCAACATAACGACTTGTACATCTCATTGTTGCAATGGGTCCACTTGTATCCCTATTTAAACGATTTGTTTTTTCCCTTCCCCTCCACAAATTATACCAACATCAAATACAGTGAAAGCAGGGGTTATGCCGTGGGGGAGGGACATACAAAGCAACAAATCTTATAAATGTGTTAGAAACAATCGCATGAAAGAAAAAAAACATTTGAATACATATCTTAGGGTTCATTCCCCTAACGTAAACTTATCTGACCTTCTCTGCTTGACTCAGACATATACTAGTTATTGCAAATAAGGGAAACCATGGGACCTATGTTTCTTTGGGCCTGGCTTACTTCACTGAATATAATTTTTTCCAAGTCTTTCCATTTCCTAACAAATGGGGCAATGTCATTCTTTCTGAGGGAGGCATAAAATTCCATTGTGTATATATACCACATTTTCTTGATCCATTCATCTACTGAGGGGCATCTGGGTTGGTTCCATATCTTAGCTATAGTAAATAATGCTGCAATAGAACAATAAGGTGACAAACAAGCTCACTTATTTGAGAAGACAGAATTTGTAGAAAATTTGGTTATTTAATTTTTTGACAGATAAGGTGATTTTTGATAAAAGTACACAGTGATGACTTTAGCATGCAAATATTCTTGTTTTCTATTATTTTTGTTTTCCGTTGTGTCCATCTCCTTCCATTTCTCTTTTGTTTTTTATTCTCTACCTCTTCCTCTACTTCTTTTCTCTCTTTGAATCTATTCATCTTTAGAATCCCACTGTTTGTGTTCTTTTTTTTTTGCTATACTAATCCCAATGGTTTACTTTATTAGTCTAAAAGCTTATCCCAAGCTGCTGAAAATTATCACTTTAAGTGAATGTTTATTAGCTCTGTGATATTAGAAAAGTTATGTCTCAGTTTCTCTTGACCTCAGTTCACACAATTACAAAGTGTATATGAATGTGGCAGCTACTCTGTAGTGTTATGGCTAGAATTCAGTGACTACTTGTAAAATCGTTGGGACCAATAATTCTAACATAGTAAGTTCCACACAGCTACTTAGCACATTTATTTTATAAAGCCTGTTTTGTGTCATTGGCTATAACTCAAGTATATACAAGTTATATTATTCATTTAAGTTGTAAGTCCTATCACAAAACAATGCCCTAGAGTACTTATAATCTTTTTTATATCTAGTATAATTTGATGGTATCAAAAGACATCACCATGTTTTGAGTAAAGTGTATTATATTCATAATTGGAAATACCCTGATGAAATCCCATTGTATAATTAATACAAGCTAATACAATACAAACAAGAAGTACCAAAATAAGACTTTTTGTTAAACTACACAGTTATGAGTTATGAAATTACCACAATACAAGCACTACACATTTAACATCAAATTTTACAAGTCATAATTGTATGCCTTTAGAAACTTTTAGTATTGAAACTAATTTTCCTTTCAAATATTTATTTATCTCTCTTCTGCCCATATAAACACATGACTCTTCCATGTGAAAATAAGAATCTCATCTCCCCCGTGGAAAACTTCTATTCAGGTCAACTCATGCCTCACTGATTTATGTTCTTGAGTAACAAGTTTCTGAATTCTTTAAAAAAACATATTATAATCAAATACAAAGGTGAAAGTTACTAAAAAGGTATGATTTAATGCTTAAACATCCAAGTTAAATCACACAATGAAGCCAGGTGACAATGGCTCACCCTTATAATTCTAGCTATTTAGGAGTATAAAACATGGAGGATTAAGGCTTGAAACCAGACAGGAAGAAAAGTTTCAAGACTCCATCTCTCATTAACCAGGAAAATGCTAGACCATAAATATGGGTTACAAATGGTACAATGCCAGCCATGCACATGCAGAACACCAGATTCCCCAAATCCCTGAGTCCTAGCCCCCATGTCAGAATACACACACACACACACACACACACACACACACACACACACACACACACACACACTACAAGATTATACACTGTTTAAACAGTTTTACTTGGTTTATTTATAACCACTAATACAATATTCACTAAAAAATAGAAAATATATCTCATCTCTGGTGCTTCACTCCTGTAATCCTAACTACTTAAAAGGCTGAGTTGAAATATGAGAATCATGGTTAAAAGCCAACCCCACAGGAAAGTCTGTGAGACTTTGACTAATAATTAAATATTAAAAAGCCAGAAGTGGGGTTGGGAAGGTAGCTTAGTGGTAGAGTGATGGCCTTGCAAGCATGAGGCCCTGAATTCGATTTCTCAGCATCACATGAGCAGAAAAAGCCGGAAGTGGCTCTATGGTTCAAGTGGTAGAGCACTTGCCTTGAGCTGAAGAGCTGAGGGGCAGATTCCAGGCCCAGAGTTCAGGCCCCACCACCGACAAAACAGAACATACACACACACACACACACACACACACACACACACACACACACACACAAACTAGCCAGAAGTGGAGTTATGGCTCAAGTGGTAAAATTTCATCTTTGAGCAGAAATCTAAACAGCACCGAAGTGCTGAATTCAAGCCTCCCAAAAGTTAAGTATTTATTAATATAATATATCTTGTGTGAACTGCTGGCTACACAAAGCGGAAGTCACATTGTTTCCTCAGTTACTTCAAGAAGATGGTGTGAGTTTTTGTTATCAACTGACTAGCAGAGTGAAGAAGGAAAAAACCCCGCTAATAATAGCTAAAATGTTGAAGAGGAATTTACACATTGCTTAGCTTTTTTCTTCTGAAAATCGACTAAGTGTCTGAAGTGTCCCATTTATAGTTACATATTTCCAAAAAGAATATTATGAAAAATCTTATATATTTGGGTAAATTGAAGTTTGGCTGGTCGATATAGAAAAAGCTGAAAGAGTAGAGTGTTAGCCTTGAGCTAAAGAGCTGAGGGACAGCGCTCAGGCCCAGAGTTCAAGCCCCACAACCGACAAAAAAAAAAAAAAAAGCTGAAAGAATGAGAAGAGACTAGAACACATAAAAGTGACTTGCTTCATTTATAATAGACAGGTGTTTATGTAACAGATGAATCTCCTTAACTATTATGAGAAAGGATTTAAGGTTGTATTTTTCATTTTCAGAGTGTCATCATTAAGTCTTCACTTATGTATGACAATTGCTCCTATTAAGTTGTTTAAAACATTGTCAAGCATTTTATGATTCTTGATTTTCTAGTAAACTTATCTTGTTTATTTTTTCTGGCCTTTAAGACTAATTGCATCCACAGTTTGCTCCCAATTAACAATTCTCAATTTACTTGTGTGCCTTTCCTCCAGCCAGACCATGGAAATCATTGGTCCTGAAAAGTCTTCCATGTTTCTGCTTTTTTATTTATGTTTCTCTTATTATTCCTACCTGAGATTACTTTTCTCTCGTATCTTCTAATGATAGTTTATTTTACATTTACAAAAGTAAAATGAAAATAGTGTTTACTTGAAGAAAAGTAGGTCTATCATTATAGCATGTTTCATTGATCAATTTTATAGTACTAATGTATTACTAAATTATACTTGATTTCTGATTTCATATTTTGCTTTTAAATTTGAATAACTTTTCCTAGGTGTGATGGAATTAACATCTCATTATGTTTCTCACTATTTCAACTTTCCTCAGAGGAGTCATGGGTATAAAATAGTACTAGACTAATACACACACATACACACATATGCATATATAGCTATCATAGAATTCATTTAATTAAACTGATTCAGTTGAATGTTTACCATATTTCTTTTGTATTTGTATTAACTAGGTATATTATAATGTTTATTGTGATGGTGATGTTTTTCTGATTTTATTTTTCTTAGGTAATGCAGTTGGACATGGCTCACACGAATCAATCAAATGTGTCTGAGTTTGTGCTTCTGGGACTGTCCAATTCTTGGGGACTTCAGCTGTTACTTTTTGTCATCTTCTCTATGGTTTATGCGATGTCAGTCCTAGGCAATGTAATGATCATTGTCATCATTTACTCTGACTCCCATTTGAACTCACCTATGTATTTCCTGATCAGTAACCTTTCTTTCATTGATATCTGCCAATCTAACTCTGCTACTCCTAAGATGCTTGTGGACTTTTTTGCTGAACACAAGACCATCTCATTTGAGGGTTGCATGGCCCAGATATTCCTACTTCATAATTTTGTTGGGAGTGAGATGATGTTGCTGGTAGCTATGGGATATGACAGATTTATAGCAATTTGTAAGCCACTACATTACAGTAGAATTATGAACCGGAGGCTTTGTGTGATATTTGTGTCTGTTTCATGGGCTGTTGGTATTCTTCATTCTGTGAGTCACTTGGTTTTTACAGTGGATCTGCCATTCTGTGGTCCCAATGAGGTAGATAGCTTCTATTGTGACCTCCCTCTGGTGATAAAGCTGGCTTGCATGGATACATACAGCGTGGAAATTATGACTCTGACTAATAGTGGATTGATATCTCTGAGTTGTTTTCTGGTTTTAATTATTTCCTATGTCATCATTTTAATAACTGTCCTGAACAGGTCCTCCAGTGGGTCATCCAAAGCCCTTTCTACATTAACTGCCCATATTACAGTTGTGATTCTCTTCTTTGGGCCTTGCCTTTATTTCTATATATGGCCTTTTAGTAGACTTTCTGTAGATAAATTCATTTCTGTCTTCTACACTATTTGTACACCTGTACTGAATCCCATCATCTACTCCCTAAGGAATGAAGATGTCAAATCAGCCATGAGGAAGTTGAGAAGCAGTCATGTCAACTCTTGTAAAAACTAAAAGTCTCCATGACAGAGTGTAGTTAGTGCTGAATCAGAATGCAGAGCCTCCTGTGAGCATCACACTAATTATCTTTGCCAGTAATATGGACAGTAGTCATAAAAGTACTTTTTGTCCTAAGTGAAAGACATTGCATAAACCAGTTCTTTTTTCTATTTAAATATAATTTTGATGAAAGCTTATTGCTTAGAAAATACAGATTATTTTAGATCATGTAGTAACAAAGAACTTTGAATTCACAAATTGTTTTTTATGCCATAAGCTTATGATTCTCTTTGATTGAAAACATTTTCACCCTGCAAACAAAATGTACCAACACATTTCTGATATTTTCATTCAATTTTTCCATAACACTATTACACATATTTGCATGTAGAAATTATCTCAATTTACATTTATCTTTAATTTAAAATGTGGATATCTCATCATACACCTTATCTCTTCTTGTGGATTAAATATTTTATTTACTTGGAATTTACTATTATATATTTGATTATTAATAATATTTTATTGACTTGTGGAAAGTTTGGTTGTTGTTTTCTTTAGTCTTATCTATTGTAGAACGTATTGTACTTGCTAGTATGAAAAACATACATACTTGTTTCCCAATCTACGTACATTTAAGGCTGATAATTTAGTTATATTGAATTCTGCATTATTCAGAGAAAATGTAAATGTCTTTGAAATTGCCTACACATATGGATGACTTTATTTAAATTGAAGTAGGAAAGTTAATGTGATATATATTCAAATTTTACAAATCACAAAGATATTAATTATTTATATCTGAAGACCAGATCTATTATTTCCTGTTTCTTTAGAACAGAAGAAAGTAAAATTCATGTGCATTTAACGATAAAGATGAAAGGCATCTATTGACTGTTTCATCTTCTAGCCAAATATTTTTTATTGAATAGGAACCCTTGATATTTACATTATAAAAAAGCTTATATATAAAATTTAAATATGTTAGAAACAATACCAAGAAAGAAAAACCACCCTCTGTTTACACTGTATTTGATGTTGGTATAATTTGTGGAGGGGAAGGTGGACCCATTGCAACAATGAGATGTACAAGACGTTATGTTGAAAAACGAACTTTACAACTTTGACGGCGGGGGGGGGGAGGGACGGGGGAGGGATATAGGAAGGGATGGGAAGGGGAAAAAAAGGAGGAGGCAACAATTCTTGATAAGAAAAGTACTCATGACCTTGCCCATGTAATTGTAACCCCTCTGTATGGTATTTTCACAATAAAAATTATATATAAAAATGTAAATGCTTGTATTCTAACCATGAGAAACAGACCCATTTAATGGGAATTTGTAAACCTGTAATTGTCATCACTCCAGATTCAGTATTTTAATATTTTACATTATAAATAAAAGTTGGGACTATATACCTAAATATTAACTCAGAATAGTAAGTCTTACTACAAGCAGAATTTTAGATATAGATGGTCTTGCTGAAAACATCAAGTAGAATTTCTTTTTTTGTAACTTCAGAATTTTGTTCAACTTCATTGATTCAATGCCAAATATAGTAATCACTCTTAAACACATGATTTTCTCTTACATATTTTTATGCAGTGCTGAAAACACTTTGAATATCCAATAAACATGAAATTTGTCATAATACTGTTGGTATACATGTTTTCTTTTACATTTCTGTAGAAAATAGAGAGGGACTGGTTGAGAACCTGAAATTTCAGGACCTTTCACTCCTCTGATTCTTACTAAGTCTGTCTTATTCATGGACTTATTACACACAATTATGAACAGATACAGTAAAAAAAAAACCTTTCTATGAATAGCTTACATGGCTCAGCAGATATAAACAAACTCATAGTATAATTAGTTGTGTTTCAACCAATATGTGATCTGAGTGTTTCACTGATTTTTTGCCCCCCTTTTGCCTCTCAAGCAAGGTAAAAGATATGGTAATCCTCTCAAGCTCCCAAAGATATGTGAGTGCTTAAATTAGTAATAAAATGAAAATTATAGATTTGTTGAAAGGTAGTATGTGTAGTAGAATGTGAATGGCATTAAGTATATATGTATGCATATATATAATATGTATTATATATAGTATATATGATAGTGTAAAATTATTACATTATACTACATAATATACAGTATAATATATTGTATATTATAATTCTATATTATATTATGTGCATATAATCTGCTAATACTCATAATCACATAACAGCATTCATTATTATTTACATATGATATTATGTTATTTGTTATACATAATATATGCTGTTTATATATTATATATACAGTATGTATATCAAATATATTATATACAATATACTACACATAATAAATAAAATACTCTTAGAATACATAATACAGTATCTCCTGTATTATAATAAAGTATATTACATATCTATTATATATACTATATTTTGTGTTATAATTCTATATAGTACAACACTAAATAGCTCAATTCAAATGTATCCATGACAAATTTCTAATTTATGGCTGAAGTTGAAGTTCTACTTCATGAACATTAACAAAATGATGAAATTTGATAAAGATTTTATTAATAAGCTATATGTTGTGTGATTTAAGGTAGCTGCAGTTACCCAAATTGCTATGGAGTTTGACTGAGAAATCAGTCATAGTAAGAATGACGTTTCAAACCTTTAAAGAAAATGATTGTGTTGAAAGGAAAATAGGAAGGAGTTGATATGTCTAATATTTAACAGTATGCATTTAAATATCAATCTTTTTGATTACAGAAAAATTAGAGAGAATCATGCAATTTATATTTACAAATATGTGTAGCATCTCCTTTTATTAATAGGAAAATGACATAATTCTCTCTTATACCAGAGGTCATTTATGTAGCAAAGTCTATAGGGAGCCATACATATATACATCTGAGCAAGTGACTAAAAGTGGAGCTCTGAAATAGAGGAGAGAAAATTAAAATAGCTGAGGGAGAAAGGTTAAAGTTTAGTAGGTGTTATGAAGGGAGCAAATACTTCTGTGAGATGAAAAACAGTATCAACCTAGATTATTTAAGGAAATACACCATTTGAAATTTCCCCTGCAAATACCGTATTTTTACATCTGTGAGCACTTACATACAACCTCATTGTGTTTACTTGTACATTAATAAACTGGGTTTAGCTTCAACATTTGAGAAAAAAGAAACATGCATCTTTTTTGTTTTTTATTTTAACATGCATCTTTTTTGTCTCTCTGGGATTGACTTTTTCATTTAACATATTTTTCACTCCGTTTCTTTGCAAATGAAGTAATATAATTCTTCCTAATAGATCAGTATATATTGTGTATATATACTATATTCTCTTGATCCATTTATCTATTGAAGAACATCTGAGCTGTTGTCCATATCTTAGTTATGGTGAATAGTGCAGGAATAAATATGGTTGTGCAGGTGGTTTTACTATACCCTGATTTGTAATCTTTTAAATAAATGCCCAGGAGTAGTATTGCTGGATCATAGGATAGCTCTATGTTGAATATTTTTTAAAAAAATTTTAGGATAGAAACCATGTCAGCAATTCCAACTTATTTGTCCAAACATTCATGACTATATACAATTTGTTTTCTCTGTGTCAACACATTTTACCAGGATACAACCAAAGACAGATTTGCCTATAAATTATTATAATTAATATTTTTTCTTCTAGCCATATGTACACTTTTTAAAAACTTATCTCAAATGACAATCTTATTTCAGCACTTTTACTTGTGTAGGTCACATATCATAAACAGAAAATTCAAAAAAGTATATATTAATGATAAACTGAAGTAGAAAAACATTCAATTTGATAATAAAGATACTAATTAAAGCAAGGAAGGAGTATTAAATTTACTAGTTTGATAAAGGAAAAAATAGATTATCGTAAATGACTGAAAACTTATAGCAAAAGTTGTGATTATCTAAAACTTGCTGAATACTTTTGCTAGGCAATGTGTTATATTCATCAAAATATGACAATTTCCACGAAAAAAATAATTTTATTTTTAGAAGCTGATTTTGAGTGATTTACTTCTAAGTCTTATAATAACAAATCAAATGCTTGCTTTTTTTGGAAATCCTGGGGTCAAACAAATACAGTATCCTGAAAAATTTGTAAAAGTAGAGGAATAAAGATGAGTGATTTTCTCAGTGCAAGAGTGTCGTCTGTATAGATTTTTCTTTCACTTTCTATAGAATAGTCTTCCATTCACTTAATTTTCCTGAATACATTTTTATAAAGGGCAAATTATATATTCAATTTAACTTAAAATCAAGTTACCAGCTGGTTGCTGGTGGCTCACACCCATAATCCTACCTATTTAGGAGGCTGAGATTTGAGGATCGAAGTTAGAAGCCAGTCAGTGCTGGAAAGTCAATGATACTCTTATCTCTAGTTAACTGAAGTGAAGATGTGGCTAAAAATGGTAGAGAACTAGCCTTGAGCAAAAAGAGTTTAATCCCCAGAACTAACTAACTAACTAACTAGTTATATGAACCCAAATGAAGATCATTATTACTTTCAGCTTACTTAGAAAAGCTAGTTTGGTTTTAACATTTGACAGTTGTCTAAAAATTTCATTGTATTAACAGAATAAAATAAAAATAATTATTTCATTTGCAATAAAAACGGTTTAAAAATAATGCCTATTGGAAAAATTCATATATTAAGAATCCAAAAAGGTATGAATCATTCCGTTTCCATATGTGCATTGTAAGAGAGGCAAATGGACTGATGCTTCTATCTTGGAAGTGCTTTGATTTATGAGCTCAATAGTGGCAGAAAAAACGTAATTTCTTGAAGTCTATTTACACAACTTTGACTCTACTACAAAGTGGCAGAAAACATTTTCAATTTTAAACTTTCCACAGGAACAAAATACAAGAAGAATCAATAAAGCATCACAGAATAATTTACAGATAATTTGGAGCTGCAGCCAAAGATTGTGTTCTGGCTAGGGATCCAGAAGAAGGGTATTAAAATATGAGTGCTTATAGGA